TATTCCAGAGAAGCTCCTCCAATGACTTTGGATGGGAAGGGGTCGCCTGTGCGGACCTGGAGCAGCTGAGACCCTGCTGGCTGCACCCAATATATCCACACAAACAATTCCTGGCCTCCAAGGAGCCATAGCAAGCCCCAGCCCGACACTGTACAGGTGCTCAGTAGAAAGCCCCCCTTGTGCAGAGCCCCAGGTCCCCAGCACTCGGCACAAGGGGCCTCTCTAGGGTGAGGCCAGGGAGCAAAGCCTCCACTCACACACCCAGAGTCAGGCACCCTGACCGGGAATGGACGGACGCTGGGGCTGTGACCCCGCATGGGGTCTGAGCCACACTGGGAAGCCGCTCCCCTTGCTCCTCTGGGAGGGCAACCTGGGGAGGGAGCCGGCCAGCTAAGGCCAGCTATTGTGCCGAGTGGGTGTCCTTGCAGGTATTCAGCTCACACACTTGGTTTCCAAATGAGCATGCACATTGGCCTGTCAACAGGTCCTCTAGGAAGAGGCCAGGGAACAAGGCCGAGCCCTGGGGGAAGGCTGTTCGCACGCCCACCCCCAGGCCTTCCTGCCTCTACTCCACTCCCCAACCCAGAATGTATGACTTGCAGGCCAGGGGACACTACTTTTCTCCCATCCTGTTTATTTTTAAATAAGAGTAGTAAAGTTTTAAAGCTGTATGAGAAAGGGAGAGGCTGGGCAGGGCCAGGTAGCCACACTGCAAGTCATCTTGATAAGGGGTCAGTAGAAACCAAGCGTGGACACAGGCTGCTGTCTTCTGCCACATTCAACTCTTCCAACTGGTGAGGGCCGAGATAGCAGGCAGGAGGAAGGGCCTCACCACAAAGGGTGTACAGGCCTTTATCAGTAGTAAGCTGGATTGTACATCCAAATTCTCGTACAAAATTCTCTGGAATGTCTGCAGGACAAAACTTCAAAGCCTCAGAATCAGGAAATCAGAATCACAGGACCTGGTTCTTCCCAAGGTGATCCTGAATTCAAAAACCATCAGCCTACATCTCCATTTTAGCTTTGGAAAATAAGGTCACCAGAATCACACATGGAAACTTTGGACAGGAAAAGATGTGGATAACTTTACAAAGCATGTCTTACTGGTTACAATGTGACCAACACATCACACTCTCTACACCTTCTAGCATTTGTGTCTTTGACTAAATGACCTTTTTCAAATGGTGGGTTTAAAAGACAAAAATAAAAACAGTGACATCTATCAGAAGTCAAAATAATCAGGTAGCCTTATAAACACAGCCACAACCAGGAGCCCAGAAATGAGGCCATGCTATTGCTCAGATCACATCTTCCTGTTGGGTGGCACAGCTGAGGTCCTGAACGAGGTGCTAGGGAGTGCTAGGACCCTGTGCAGTGCACCTTAGCAGAGGCCAGCCCTCGCTGCCCACCCCCACCGCTGCATCTCCCCTCGCTGGGCTGAGCAGTGGCCCAGGGCGTGGTGAGGCCTGGCTGGCGTCACAGGGACACAGGTGCTTCTACCTGGAGGCTTCACCGTGGCGAATCCTGCACCTGCACAGCTGCGTGGCCTTGGAATAAAGTTGGGGGGAGGGGATTTTGCACCTCAAGTGCTGTGGGTGCAGTGGGACACAGGTAGGCACCTCCGGGACTGCGTTCCCTTCAAGGGCATCACTGCCCGCTCCTACGTAGCACCCAGCAGGAGAGGACTCCAGGGCTCTTTGTGGAAAGGGCTGTGTTCGCCTGTATTTTTCTGTATGGCTGTAGGATTCAGTAGGCATTTGGGGAGCTGACAATGTTCCCCTGATATGGCTGATGCGAAGAGGGGCTTTCCTGTTTGGGACATGAGCTGAACACCGCCCTGGATGGCTGAGCCCAGAGTCAATTTTAGGCCTTCTCGTAGGGAACTCTCCCTTCACTCAGGCGACCTTCGCTTTGAGATCTCTGCCCCTGTGGCCCGCTAGAACCAAAGTCTGCCCCAAAATAAAGATTTGAGTTTTCACTATTATTTCTACGAGCCCTATGGGTTCCTCAAACCCGCCGAAACCGGCAAGCATGGCCATAAACCACAAAAATGAAAGGCCCTGAAACAGACCCAGGCTGGGAAGACACTCTGCACGTTACAAGAAAATAAAGGCTGTTTTAGGAGGGTCCCGCCTGTGTAACTGCTTCTGTGGGTGTGGCGTCCGAGGCCCACCACCCTCTTACACAGCCACCCCCCGTTTCATGATGAGATGGAAACCTGCTAGCGAGAAACCATCTGAACTGAGCCTGAGATTCACGGATCCCCCCTCCCCCTTTCAAGTGAGATGAATTTAAGCCCCAGATGATTCAAGAGGGTCTGGCCAGGAATGCCCAGTGGGAATTCCCTCCTGGTGCCCTGTCCCCACTTCCCAGGCCAGGCTGGGCCTAAGGACCGCACCCTGCCATTACACAAGAACCACTTTGGGAATGAAGACACACTCATTTGCCAAAAATAGCCAACTCCTGCATATTTCTGTTTTAAGGCAATGTTACCCTTCCATCTATCAGACGGAACAGCCCTGGGTCATTTAGAGGAAAAATTAAATTAAGTGCTCTCTTTGGAAACAGCCAACACCCACTTCCCTCCCCCACCCCCCACCCTGCTCTAAAACAAACCAGCTCTATTTTTTTTATTCCACGATGACTGGGTTTGGAGTCCTTTCTTTCCCTTCGTATGTGCAGACGATGTGGAGTTAGGAAACCTCCTCCCGAGACGCTGTGGGAAGATCCAGATCTCAAGAGCATTGGCTTCTCCCTCAGAGAGTGCTTTGCTGGCCTCCCGGGGACACGCTCCCTCTCCCTGCCTTCGGGAACCCTGGACGGTGAGCGCACCAAAGGACTTTGGAATAAAATTCCTGAACCTGGAATGTGAATTCCTGAGACATGAAATGTGTTCAAAGTGTGGCTTTCTCTGCCTCACAAGGAAACAACTTTGGGAGGGACCTCACTTTGGAACCGGGCATGAAGATCTTTGCACCCCAAGCACCCAGGGCTCCCTACTGTCAAGGTCCCTACTGCATATCCACTCTCCCGGACCAAATGCAAGCAGGGCTGTCCCAGAGCCCCAGTGCAGCATGGCACCCAGGGTGGCCAGCTCTGCATCTGACCAGCATGGGGGCTACCCCACCACATAGTGCCCACTGTGCTACTCAGAAGCCACCACCATGCCATTAGCCGATCTTAGCTGACACACGGTACTTAGAAACGGGCACCTGGAACACACTGCCACCTGCGCAGCTGCTGTGGACAGAGGGTACCCATCCACTCTGGAGCCAGCCAGAAACAGTAGCCAGAGGCTGTGGGTACTGGCTGGACCTGGGTCTCTGGGGTTTCCCTGTGCAGCACCCCATGCCGTGGCAGGGCCAGTGGAAGCAGGATGGCCACAACCAAGGCACTCTGGGCCCAGGAAGCCCACCTATGGCCCTCTGAGGTCCCAAAGGCCGTTTCTCATCAAAATGAGTACCCAGTGAAATGGGTATCTCTGCAAGATAATCCGAGTCTTCCCCAAACCCACCCACCCCCACCAACACACACACGTGCGCGCACACACACACACACATATATACAGATACACACACATACATACTCTGTCCTGGGACCTTGTATGTACAGGCCCCAACTCTCAGGAGGAAGGGAAGGTGGTGCCTGGGCTGCAGGCTGGGGTGGACACCCCAGGTGTCTGCAGAGGAACTTGCTGGACCACGGCTTGACTGACCTGGCCCAGGGCTTGAACCCCAGCCTAGCTCAGGCCAGGGCTCTGGGAGCGAGCGCCCCAGCTCTCTGCTCCTCCTCTCCTACCAGGAAAAGGCTAGCCATGGGGCACCCTCAGCAGTCCTAATGTGCCACAGGCTGGGTGTGGCCTGGGGCCTCTCAGGCAGGGCAGGGAGAAGCCGGAGGGAAAGGGAGGAGGGATCCAGGGGACACGGGGAGGCTGGAGATTTGCTGAGTCTGTGCTGGGGACAAGTTGGGTCTGAAAAAAGTGTTTCCCACAACTTTCTGTCTGGTGTTCCCTGGGGAGGAAACAGCACACATGTTCCCCGACAGCATTTCCTATAACATCCGCTGTGCCACTCCTAAAAAGTTCCAAGTCACAATGTTCCGGTCTCTTGCTACAGAAGGGTCTTACGAAGCACCGAACACACTGCCACAAGCTCGGCCGCTCACACAGACCCTCCGATGAGGCCACCCCACAACCTCACCCACGGTTTCAAACAAAGGTGCCTGGACAGCAGCCTGGTGCGGGAAAACTCCGGAACTGGATGCGCCAACGAGACTTTCTGCCATCTTTTTAGAAGACCGGAATCCCGGTCGGAGAACATGGTATGATAGCAAAAGGGCTCCATGTGCCTTCTGCAGGGACACAGAGCAATGGGGTCCCAGGCAGGCATATCCCAGGCCCCTGCCTCACCGGGCTGGGCCATGCAGCGGTGGGCCCAGCCAAGGCTTGTAGCTCCACTTCCAGTGCTCCAAGGGGCCACCAGGGGTGTCCTGGGGCAGGGATCAAGGCAGGCAGGGCCCCAGAGGGCAGCTGCCCCCTCCACAGTCTGAGAGGTGGGTGGTCCTTCGTGCCACAGCTTAAGGCATCCCTCTAAGGGGGCCTGCTTCCCAGAAACAGCTGCGTGGTCACCCAGCCAGGCCTATGTGGCGGAGGCCAGAGCTGGGCCGCAGGCAGGAAGACAGGGGACGCCTGCCACTGAGGACCACAAACGTCAGTGACCACGTCTGCTCCCAACCGACGGCTGACCGGCAGGACGGATGCCGAGTGCCACCTGGCCCAGCTGGGCCGCTCTGTCCCCACTATGTTCCTGGACAGAAAACTCCAGAGTGCAAATCTATGTACAGAGTAAGGCGGCAGGAAGGGGTATCCTCACTGACCTCGTGGAACGTGTCCATCCCTGAGAATGGGGGTTCAACACCGCTGAATCTCAACTTCGTGGGCAAGTCTATTGTGCAATTTGTGGATGGTGTTTTTTGAAATTTTTTTTGTTTTTTGATTTTTTACAAATTTACTTTGACACCTGAGGTGAAGAAAGTGTTTTTCGTGGACTTTTCGTGGTGAAGTTTCTCTTCTTTCTTATTACAAAGGGGGGGGGGGCGGGACGGCGGCGGAGCGGCTGCTCAGGGCGGCGGGCTCAGGGGGAGCTGGCGGGGCTGATGGTGGGGCTGCTGGCGTCCGAGCGGCTGTAGTCGCTGAGCGAGCCGGTCCGCGAGCCGCCGCCGCGCCGCTGCAGCATGCCCGGGTGGAAGTTGGCGTGGCGGCGCGCGTGCTTCGTCAGGTGGTCGCTGCGCATGAAGCGCTTCTCGCAGATGGGGCAGCTGAACTTCTTCTCGCCCGTGTGCGTGCGGTAGTGCCGCGCCAGCTCGTCGGAGCGCGCGAACTTCTTGTTGCAGTCCTGCCAGCTGCAGGCGAAGGGCCTCTCACCTGCAGGACGACAGGGCAGATTGTCAGTCTCTGGGGCACTTGGCCCTGCCTACCCCGGGTCGGGTCCCCCGACTACTCTCCCTGCTCCCCCTCGGGCACCCCAGCCTCTCATTAACCCCCGCCCCCGTGCCCCGTCTCCACCAGCCTGTGACAGATCCATCGGGGTGAAGATAAAGGTGGGCCAGTGCCCTCCTGCCCACATTGGGATGGAAGTGGACCATCTCCCAGGATGACACAGCACTTCAGGCGCTGAGGCAGCAGGGCCTGTGGAGTGGGTGTGGGCCAGGCCCCCTAAGCACAGGCAGGCTGGTCCCACAGGAGCCCCGCCCTCGATCCCTGCACCCTGTGGGGCAGGGAGGCAGTTCCCAAACGCCACTGCCCCGCCTCCATTTCAACCCTCTCAGCCACGTCTGTAACAAGGGGCTGCCGGGTCAGACTGAGAGATTTTCAGGGCCTGAGACTCTACAACCAACTGGTCTGTGGCTCCTTCTCTCACAGAAGTCCCAACGTGGTCAACCAGTAATGCTCAGCAGAGCAGGAGACTGCCACAGGATCCCGCAGACCCAAGCACGCGGACAGACAAGGGTGGCAGGCAGAACACCTTGTGAAGGGTGTGCAGGTAGGGAGGAGATGGAACACAGCGGGGGTGGAGGCTCTGAAGGGCAGCTACAGTCAGGACCCTGGCCCTCCTCCCATGCCATGCTCAGAGTGAGAGGCTGGCCAGCATTTACCCAGGTGAACTGAACCACAAAAGCAACATGAACTGCTCAGGGAGAACCAGAGGAGGGGGAGACTCTGCTACCCCAGAATACAGCTCTTCTGGCATAGGGAGTGGCCACACAGCTACCCTTCCTACCCTGTCTCTCCCCCTCCTCTCCCCCATACAGGCCCTAAAGCAGACTGGCAGTCCCTGATGCTGGCCCACCTATGCCCTGCAGAGGACCTCCATACACCCACCCGCGGTGAACACAGACAGACACCCAAAGATGGTCATACAGCCAAGGAAAATCAGCAGCATGAAGGAGAAAGGCCAATGCAACAAAACCATCAAACCAGAGGAAAAGGAGTAAAGCCAGGGAACAGAAGAGAATTTAACCTAAAACTTCTAATTAGCATTTTTGGAGGAATTTGAGACAACATTTGATGCATAGACCAAACAGGATACCATAAAAAGAAAGTTCAAAGAATAAAAAAATAGCATTTAGAAGTTGAAAATATCATTGACCAAACAAAAATTCCATAGAAAAGCTGGAAGTATACTCAAGCAAATATCCCAGAAAAATAGAGCAAAAAAACGGTTCTAGAAAATACATGGACATTGCAGTGCTTGTCTTCTAGTACTGCTGAACTTGAGGGCCAGGAGTGTCGCATTTGCTCTCCCTACTGATCTTACGTTTTGGGGGAAAGGGTGTTGGCGGGGGAGAGTCAAAAAATCAAGTAGCCACCATTGTTTCTCAAACCAATTCGACAGACAGTAGAGGTGAAAAGTTGAGAGCCAGAAAATCAACCCAGGGAGTTCAACGTTTAACTATCAGGAGGTGTCGAGTGAGAAAACAGAAAAAATGGAGAAGAAATTAGAAAAGAAATACTAGAACAGTATCTATCAGACTAAAAAAGAAGAAAAGGAAGACAGGAGACTAACACAAGAAAGACTGGCACAGAGGAGGGCAGGGTAAGCGAGCAAAGGCCCTGCTGTCAGAATTTCTGCAATGTCAGAACACAGTCAAAACAAAACAAGAGATCCCAAAACTTACTAGAGAGGGAGGGGAGAAACAAATACCAGGTCATCCACAGACGAACAAGGCTGGGACAGACACGAGACTTCTATGTCACACTGGATGCTAGAAGACAAAGGAAGAGGGCCTTCCAAGTTATGTCTCTCACACTCCAACAAAAATGAGAAAAACCGAGGCCAGGGACATAAGTCAATAGTGAAGGGTCATCTCAGGACAAAAGCGAGGCAGAGGCCTGAGAGGCCACTGGAGCAGAGGACCACGACTCAGAGAGGAATAGTTCCAAGAAGAGAGAGTTCTGTGCACCAGAGGGAATGGTCAAGAGACTGGATAAATGTCAGGACACTGTGAAGACGTATTACTATTCTTTGTTTAAAAGAAAAAACAGAGGCAATTAGCAACTCCAGGAAACACAGAAGACATACAAGAAAATTGTCATCCAAATGAGATGCAAACTAAAATGCCACATAATTATGAGCAATCAGTCAAGAGCTCTGTGCCAAGCACGGTTCTAGGGGCCTTTCCTATGTTATTTTATTTATCCTTCACAACAACCCCATGAGGTGGCGGAAGGAAATGTAATCCCAGCACAGGCCCTGGCTGACAGAAGCAAACTTCACACAGTCATGTAAGTCACGTAAGCCTTAGCACCAACTGTCGGCGTTCAGAATTGATCCTATAGACAAAGCCCATATAACTGACTCAGTGGCCCCAGCAAAGAATGTGGATTCAAGGGAAGGGTGGGACCGCACATAGTGCACGGTCAATGGATATATCTAAGGTAAAATACAGGATTACAGTTATAAGGATAGTCAATAAAAGAAGTAAAATAATAATACATCTATCAATTCAGGAGGAGGTGGGGAGGTAGGAGTGAGGTAAATCCTCAAATTTCATGGCAGGAAGATAACAGAGTATCTAAACTTGATAAATCAAGAAACAGCAATAAAATCATACAGCTCATTTAAGGCAGTACCTACCAAGACAATTTAAATCAGAGAAGAGAGGGCTGATCTGGGAAGTGGAGCTAGACTGGTAAGAGGATATTTTTTGTTATAAGGTCTTCTGTGGTATGGGTCTTTTAAAAAAATATGTATTTATTTGATAACAATGAAAAGTAATGTTAAAATATATTCTAGTCCATTATTTCCCAAACCATGTTCTAAGAAATGTTATCACTGAATGAACTGTTAATAGGTTCCAGGAAAAAAAGAGAAAAGTTTGAAAAAGGCCACATGGTAATTCCACTCTTTGAGATACATAATACACATTAGTCATTCACAGCTTGGGAAGGTCTAGCATTAAACGGTCTAGCATTAACTGTTTCGGGTCTGAAAGATGAGGCTCCAGACCCTGTTTGCACCGTGCAGAGACAGTATGGCCTTGCTCAAGCTCCTCACTGCCTCGGGCAAGGTGGATAATGGTCCCCAAAAAGATACAGCCAAGTCACAACCCCCAGAACCTGTGGATGCGACCTTATTTGGGAAAAGGGTCTTTGTAGTTCTGAGATGAGCTCGTAAGTGTGAGAAAAGGGGAGAATGGGAGGGGAGGCATGGAAAAGAACCTCCCTCAGAGCCTCCAGAAGGAACGAACACTGCCAGCACCTTGATTTCGGACTTCTGGTTTCTGGATCTGTGAAGAGAGTAAATTTCTGTTGTTTTCAAGCCACCCAGTTTGTGGTCACGTGTTACAGCAGCCACACGGTATGAATGAATACACTGCCCCATCCTCACAGTGGGGTCCACGTGGCAATTCCATGGGGCTGCACACGACCAGCCTTGGCACTGAGCCTGGCATGTTCCCAGTATTCACTCCTGCGATGTGAGCTATTATTGTTGCTCTTATGCATAGCTATGCCAACTGGGTCTTCTCAGATTTGGGCCTGTGGGGGAGGGGAACCAATCCAAATTCAGACTCACCCTTGCTTCCCAATAGCCCTTCTTGGGGGCTTTGTCCTTTTCAGGTCCTTCTGCTTACAATGCTGGGAAGCACATGGGGTGAGTAAAATTACAGGTGGGCCACGTGATATTTGGGCCGTAGAGAACTGCAGCATCCAGTGGGTGGGATGCTGGTGCCAGGCAGCCTGGAGTGGAGGAAGGTGGGATGCCCAGCATGGCCACCAGCACACAGCTCTCAGCCTCTCTGGGTGTCAGCAGCTCCACACTTCGAGCACATAACGGATGCCTGGCCTAGGGGACATGGTCTTGACCCAGACAGACAGTATTCCCCGGTCCATTTTCTATTTCCCTGTCAGCCTCCTGCAGGAGAGGCAGCAGCCAATGAGCTGGTCCACAAACAGAAGTTATGATTCATGCTGGCAAGGGGCAGCACCAGGTCTGGCCAGGTGGCACCTGAGTGGTGACATTCGAGCCGCACCCAGCAGGCTGATAAGGAGCAGCCACCAGAATCAAGAATGGGTTGGGGAGAGGCGGACAGAGTACAGTGTACTCCAGGACACTGTCACTCACACTTTTTGCAAGGAGCCCCAAGTGCTTTTATTTACATGGGTTATTGTCATTGATATTTATCATATTAGAAATTAAAATGGAAAAAATCCAAAACTCAAGCACACATTCCAGTAGCTGTCAGTGTCATGATGCCATCACACATCTTGTAGTGTCTGGAACATCCCATTGTACTCTTTTGGGAGAATAAAGAGCATATAATCTTACTGTTATGAAAACAGTTTTGATTTCATGGCCCCCAAAATGGTCTCAGGTACCTGCAGGTGTTCTCTGGTCTCACTCTAAAAACCACTATTCTGGGGACAGACTCCAGGATGGTGTGTGTGGCTGAGCAGACTGGGGTAGGGGCAACCAGAGTGAGGGCTGGGGGCCAGCCAGGCCTGACCCTGCAGGGAGTGAGCCCACTTCCCATTCTAAGGCAAAGGGGCAAAGGGAGCCCACTGGACTAAAACAAACCCAAGCGTCCTTCTTGCTAGGCTCAAATCTAGCTTCTGCCTCTTCTAGGCACATGACATGGAGACAGCAATAGTATGATAGGACCTCACAAGGAGGGGGCTCAGTCTAACTCAGAACTGGCCCTCTCAGGAAGGAAAACCAGTCCTACCTTTCAGACCCCTGCCAGGGAGCTCCTAGCCTTCCTGCGGAATACCAAAGGTACTCCAGGTCCTACCCTCAGGAGCCAGGAGGGGCCCACGGGGCTCTAGCTGTGCAATGCCTATGAATGGGGCTGGCAGGGAAGGGGGAGGCAGTGGGAGGGGCCCGGCCACTGTGAGGGTGCTGGGGGAGGGGCCAGGTGGTGCAG